AATGTCCTCCATATTCTATCATCATCATATTGTTGGAATGGATCAAGGTTATAGCGTACTGATGCTCCAAAAAGCACAGGATCCTATATGCATATGTATTGTACAGGCAGGTCATTGAATGAAGGAGCTTACTTGTGGTATGATTGACATATTGCTCCTAACATCATGAAGGCCCAATTGAGTGGTTTCTACTCCATCAATTTTAATGCTACCAGTTGGTTCAGCTAGTCTGAACAATGCTCCAATGAGAGACGATTTACCAGCTCCAGTACGACCCACAATACCAATCTATATAGTACAAAGTTTAATATTTTAAATATACTTTGTCTTTTTACTTTTTCACTTGGTTTAATGTTACATGTAATTCCTCTAAGTACAAGTGGTCCTTCATTTGAATGACGGTAGGAAAGATTGTTTAGCTCAATGTGTCCTTTGGTTGGCCAGTCTGAACTCAGTGAAATTGAAGGATCGGTTTCCAAAGATGGTTCAGTTTCTAGTCTACCATAAGCCATCACTCTCTCAGCTGATACCATCTAAAGGACACGGATTGATAATCACAAACAACTTAATTCACTTACCAAACTCTCAACTTCAGCACTTTGCCTGATGCAATATTGAAAAGCTCCCATTAAAGTAACAGCATAAGTCAAAGACAGACCAATTAACCCAGCATTGAGAGCTGAAGAGATGATTATAAATATCATCATTAGTATAATAGGCACTATACTTACTAGAAGCTACTGGGATTGATGCAAGAGCTACAATTGTGATAAAGATAGAAGTAATGGAATCAATCCTCATACCAAACCACCTATAGCTGGGAGTCAGTACAAGTGAAATACTGATACACTGACCTTTCAGTAACAGCATATAAATAAGCAGCTTGAGTGTTCTGATTCTGAAATGTATGAAAATGATTCATAGCTTCACTTTGCATTGAGTAAGATCTTATGGTAGGGAGTCCTTGTAGTGTTAGTGAGAGATGAGAGTATATAGGACTACGAGCTAAAGTATATAATTATGATTCACACATTAAATATTATTCACTAACAGAGTGCTTCTAATCTTTTGATGTCCCTTGCTGTTTTTAAGTAATAGAAACGAAGTGTCCATGCAGCAACAAACACAAAACCAACAGCAAACAATGTGTACACATTTGCAATAGTTGCAGCAATCATAGTGGATAGAAATCTTGTAAATATCTATCATAATAATAGTAGTAATAGTAATGATAATAATAATAATAATAATTAGTGACACAAACTTGTTATACTCTTACTGAAAGAAAATCATTAAATGATATTATCAATCTGTCATCTAAAAATCCAACATCTTTTGAGAATCGATTTAATATGCGTCCTATACAATCAAAGTACATTCATATTATGAATAAATGCAGCCAGCTATATCCATTACTAACCAACAGGATTAGTATCAAAGAATAAAACTGGAGCTCTCAATACTCTAGCAAACATTCTATTATGAACAACTCTTGAAGCGTTCAACATCAGCACAAAGAACAGCATTGCTCTCAATGCTGCAAATATTGTCAATGATCCTACAAGTCCTCCATATATTCCAATGCGCTCATTGTCAGACAGAAAACAAGTAGACCTATTGAGATTAGTCTCTGATTCACAGTCAGCCCTATATCAGTAATATACCATTCTACTACTAGATCTAATGTATATATAAATTTCTCACCAGTCAGATATCCACCAGTCAGCAGTGACAATGTTGCCCTAATGTGGTATAGTACACTGGCATTAAAGGAAGCTTCAAAATAAACTAACTTCAGTGATGGCGAAAATAATTAACACAAAAATAGTGAAAATATATCCTCCACCAGCAAGAAAATAGTTGAAATATGTCTTGACTGATATATTTCCATGAGCACGTTCTTCAGCAGGGACTGACAATTTATGAGTAACTTCCTATAGAAAGATTTAATAATAATGTGTATATGTATACAAAGACAATGATATATTCTCTTACTGGCTCTTCTGCTGGCATAGATTCAGGTTTCTGTGGCTTTTCATTGTCATCCTCTTCCTCAACTGTTTCCAATTTCTGACTAAATTCTACCGCAACTGTTTTAATACATGTAGATATTTATAATTATTTCAAAAATTGTTACTTTGTGGTTCTAATCCAGTACTAATACTTTGTTTCCTGATTTTAAAGCCATCATCAGAAGTACTGGTATCATCAACTAATAGTTCAAATATACCACTGTCCTCTTTCAGAACATCCCTTGCATTACCATACACTAACACACGACCCTAACAGAATATTCTATAAATAAAACCCTACATTCATTACTCATGCACCTCATTCAGTCCAAGTATAGCATCACATCGTTCAAGATATTGTACTTGATGAGTTACTAGTATAACAATCTTGTCTG